GGAGGTGGTGGAGGAGCACCGGCAGCTGGAGGTGGTGGAGGAGCACCGGCAGCTGGAGGAGGTGGTGGCGGAGGAGCACCGACTACTCCTCCTCCTCGGGCACCTCCCCTTCCTCCGCGACCTCCACGACCACCACCTCGGCCACCTCGACCACCTCCTGGCGGCGGTGGAGGGGGAACATCAGTACCTGGTGGAGGTGGTGGAGGAGCGCCCGCAGCTGGCGGAGGTGGAGGGGGAGCACCAGCAACTGGTGGTGGTGGTGGAGGAGGAGGAGCACCAGTGTCGGGTGGTGGAGGAGGAGGAGGAATGGTGCCATCTGGTGGAGGAGGAGCGTTTTGGCGCTCAACAATCAAAGGTGCAGCGAGGGCACTGTGTCTGTATTAGCTATTGAATCAAGAGTTGGTAATCAGGAAGGTATATTGAATGGATAGTGGAAAGAAATGGGAGTGATGTACCCAGCGGCCATGAGGATCAAAAAGGTGGACCTCATGATTGATAGTAATACAAATGGTTGTTATTTGAAAGTCAAATGATTGATTGTAGAAGTGAATTGTTGTTCACTGATGGTGATGGCCATTCCAGAAGTGCTGAAGCCATGTGCTTTTATACTTGAATTTCTCTATACTCTCCATGATCGTCCGTCATCATTCTTCACGTTCCGTTACATGCGTGTACCTGGATGATCGCTGCCATCAGAGCGGAGTTCCCTACCCCGCGCATCCCGTCCATGGCTTGAGCTGTGCAGTGAATGAGTACATGGCACCTGTGACGGCTTGGCCAAAGCCAAGAAATGAGCGACTGGTGATAGCCAGATTCGGGAGATTTGTTCCCCCTTGCTGGGCTGTGAGGCCAAGATTTGGGCAGCGGAAATATTACGTTGGCATATGCTGCGGCAGGTGACACTTCTTGTCACCCAGGAAGTCGATTGGATGGATTCTCAACGCGCATGTGCTGCGGCCGAAGTTCTGGACTTGTACCAAAGAACTGGGTCGGGGGTCAAGTCTACGAGATGAAACGTAGCCTACAAGCTGCCCAATAGCAATGACGGCTGCGCATCATAGAGTCGGTATTCAGACTCTTTTTTGATGTCATATCCGGCAGGGGTCGTGTCTAATTGGCTCTCGGACCATTGAAGCCCGGCCTAGTCTGGCTGTCAGGGTACAACCCACGTTAGCCAAGTACCCGACTAAATCCGGACAGGTTTGACTAACAGGGATAACTCGAGAGGCGGGAACTAGGACCCTTACATTTCAACTTTTCTCGAGCCTCATTCGCCAGGAATGCATTTCTTTTCTGTACTAGAAGCCCATGTTCCATCAAGCCTGTGTGCCGGCATCAGAAACGCAGCTGTTGTGAAACCCATTTCAGGTTCTGCCTCAGACATTTGCGAGATTGCAATATCACTACAAGCATAGGTAAATACTGACATGGTAGGAATCTGCAAGAAGTGAGTTTGTAGCATTACAGTTCAAGAGACGTAAGACAGCGGGTGAGAATGCGGCGTTGCTGTGGTCATGTCCTTGGCATGCAGGCCCAAGGAACAGTGGGCATTGTCTCAATGTCAAGCAACAGGTCAAGCTTCGTCATAGGCGAAAGGATCAGCCTTGTTATTTTTACTTCGTGCGGAGATCAACAAGTTTACACTCCCATTGCACCAGTACCAACACATCATCCCAAGCCGCCGAAAACCTGCACAAGGCCGAACATGTCGAGAATATATGAGGCGACCTTGATGTGACGCGTATACATAGGGTAATTAAATCGGCAAATCCGCAGAGATCCGTACTATAGTTTGCCGACTACAAAAAGTGGCAAAATGGGCCGAATGCATGGAGCAAATGCCGAAGATCTGCAGTTTTACATGCCCATCTGATCAGGCCGAGTGTTGGAGGAATGAGTTTGGGGCGCACCAGTTGGAGGCATTGATCCTTGGGAAAGGACTGACGGGCAATTGCCATTGGATTAAAGAATTAGCAAGGCTACATGCGTAGATCATGGTTAGCACTGGAAAGGCTTCGTGGCATGCATAGCCGCACCTTGAAAGCTTTGTACAGTATGCAGACGTAGTCTCCATCAGCTCTTGATGAAGCTTGGTAGTGTTAATTTTAGCACACGTCCTTAGCCACAGACGTCTGGTATAGTACGCAGATCAGTCGTCGTCTTCAATGACCAAGCCGATTTCTTCAACATTCTTGACCACCTCAGCCCCTTCATTGCGTGTGTCTACATCACCGCCGGCGCTATTCTTAGGTACGTTTGCATTCGGGGCCAGCTTCTTCTTTGTCTGCTCGGCACCGGTTGTACCGTCCTTGGCGTCGCCATCTCCGCCCTTGCCGCCTTTCTTCGCCTTTTCTTTTCTTTGCCTTGCCTTTTCCCGCTTTAGCCTATTCTTCTCCGTCTTCTCTTTGTCCTTCTTCTCCAACTCTTCTTTCCGCTTGGCAAACTCCTTCTCGTCTTCCTCCTTCTTCACCTCTTCACCCATGGCGCGCAGTCTCTCATACTCGCGCCGCCGGCTCGCCTTGTAGACATGGAACTCGCCACTGCCTGCACCGGCGCTTGAACCTTGGACATTTGCGACAATTTCTGGGGGCAGAGAGGAAGTCTTGGCAATTGCGCCGGAGCCTGGGATATGGATTTCGCGGTCAGGCTTTGCGAAGAGGGCTTCGACCTGGGAGGCTTGTTCTGTACGGGGAGTGAGGGCGCGTTTCTTCACTGGGCGCTTCGAGCGCGGGTCGGCGGATGTGGGTATAGCCTCTGGAATGGGCTCGGACATGGTGTTTGCAGGTAAGGATGGATATGCCTGGCGCAGGCGGCGTTGCGTAGAAATCAGAGTACCAGAATATATACACGTGGCCGATAACCTTACGCGACTGCGGAGGGGTGAAGTGCAAAGATGTGATGGGTGATTTGGGCAGAGCGCCGAGAGAACGCAGTGTCGTGGAAATATTATCAAACATTGATGCGAGTCGGGATGGCGCGCTAGGTGCCTGGCTACGGCGCGCTAGAAGTGCCACATGCGCCTGCGAAGTCGCCGCCATTCTTGGGCTTGCAGCACCACATGAAACACGCAATATCGCATATTTCTCTGCCCCTCTACACAGAATCTGTTTCTGTCTGAAGCTTATACAGGCTGAACATTTTCCACTACACCCCCTTTATTCCCAGAGCCTACAAGTGCTGACGTCTGAACATCCCACGCCACTATGGGGAAACCCCGCGTAGGTCCACTTTACCACCACGACCGCCCTCAGCGCCTGACCCTTCCGTAGATGATCATTCTGATTCGCCATGCGCAATCAGAGGGAAACAAGAACCGTGATATCCACCAGTTTATACCCGACCATAGGGTCAAACTGACCCAGCATGGCTGGACTCAGGTACGCCGTCCTTATCGCATGACTTAAGACGCTTCACGGCTGACTCTAGACCACCATAGGCAGAAGAAGCTGGACGCCAGCTCCGCTCTATGCTCAAGCCAGATGATACCCTCCAGTTCTACACCTCGCCCTACCGCCGGACCCGCGAGACTACAGAGGGCATCCTCCGCACCTTGACCTCGGACGACCCCACCCCCTCGCCCTTCCCCCGCAACAAGATTACTGTCTTCGAGGAGCCAAGGATACGAGAACAAGATTTTGGTAACTTCCAGCCATGCTCGGCAGAAATGGAGCGCATGTGGCAGGAGAGGGCTGATTATGGTCATTTCTTCTACCGCATACCCGACGGCGAGAGTGCGGCAGATGCTTATGACCGTGTCAGTGGCTTCAACGAAAGCCTGTGGAGATCCTTTGGAGACGACAACTTTCCCAGTGTGTGCGTGTTGGTTACGCATGGACTGATGTCTAGGGTCTTCCTGATGAAATGGTGAGTGCCCAACTTACGCAATACAGAGAGGGAAACATGCTGACTTGCTGTAGGTATCACTGGTCTGTCGAGTACTTTGAGGACCTCCGGAACGTAAACCACTGCGAATTTATCATTATGAAGAGAAGCGAGAACAACGGCCGGTATATCCTCCAGAATGAGCTGCGAACATGGTCCGAACTCAAACGCCGGGCTGCCAAAGAGAAAGAGGAACAACCAAAGAGCGCCACGGCTGCCACACCAAGCAGAAACACGTCGTTGAGTAATCTCAATCAGGCTGGGTCTACCTCGTCTCCCACTGTGCCAATTCGACGCTGGGGAGGGTGTGTAAATGGATGCAACCACGACAAAATCAATTACCCTCGTCGTCCAATGCGAAAGAACACGATGGAGTATCTTGGGCAAGGTTCTCAGCAGACCGCTTCGCCTGCTACACAACATATGGAGCCATTAGAGAGCGAGCAAGAAGACCATCCAGTTGCAGCCCAAGAGGCTGATCATGCTCCCATCATCAATGAGCCATCGCCAGCCAAGCTGTTGCGAAAGCAAACCGCCAAAGGTGCAGCCATTCCCGCCATGCCGCCAACGCCCGCATCACCAAACGATGCCTCGAACGATGCTTCCAGTAGCGAAGAGGGGGACAACGCACCTTTGGGATCGAGGTCCAACAATCACGCACAACCGCGAACTAGTGCTATTCTGCGTCACCTACAGCCCATACAGGCCGGCGAAGGCTTCTCAGATGACTCCGACTACTTCCCTGGCATGCAGCACCTCCACCACAGCACTGGACAACGCAAATTTCTCCGTGCTAGCTCCACGCAACGCAAGCAGTCCAAGGACCGCAAGATCCAGCGCAAGCAAACCGAACAAGGCTGGCTCGAAGAATCCGGTATGGGCAAAGATGTCAAAACGGACAGACTGGGCGACGGCGACGCCACAAGCGATGACGCCGCATTCGCCAAAAAGAAAGATGAAGAGCCACCCATTTTGAGGGAAGCTCTCAAGGGAAACATGATTGTCGAACACAGTGAAGAAGAGAGAGAAGCAGCCGCAGCAGCAGCAAATGGTACACAGCCCGAATCCGCCGACAAGAAAGTCACCGAGAAGGACATTGACAAGATGCAGGAAGCAGAGAGAAAAGGTCTCGATGAAGTGTATTAGATTAAACCGCAAGCGCCGTCGCCGTCCCCCACCCTAGACTCCTCTGTAGCTTGTTTTTTTATTTTTTGGTTTTGCAACCTGAATTACGTACTTTATTCCCCTTTTGCCTTCATAGACCCCTGATTGAACTCCTGAAATGAAACAATGAAAACCATGTACACCAATTACCTGTTTTTGAAAATCAAAACCTGTGAAGTTCCCCCTTTTCATACCATTGTGTGAGTCGTGATGGTTTTGCTTTTGGCCATTCTGCCCTGTTGTACACCAATTTTTCCCTCTGTTCTTACAATCTCTGTGTACCCTGTCTCTGTGGTGTGTGGCGATATCCCTCGTAAAAAGAATACTCGTTCTTTGCTTCTTTCCTTCAATTCTGATTAGTCTATACCTATCTTCTTCAAGCTTCCTTCTTCTTGTTCTTGGCTTTGTGGCTCGGCATATTGACGTTGACCCTGGCCGTCGTGG